AAAAGAAGGATAAGAACTACATAATAATCTCCATACGAGCTGAAAAAGCATTTGACAAAATTCAATATCCATTCATGATGAAAACTCTCAACAAAATGGGTATAGAGGGCAAGTACCTCAACATAATAAATGCCATATATGACAAACCCACACCCAACATCATACTTAACAGTGAAAAGCTGAAAGCTTTTCCCCTAAGATTGGGAACAAGACCACGATGCCCACTCTCCACACTTTTTCATTCAACATAGTTTTGTAGGTCCTGGCCACAGCAATGAGACAGGACAAAGAAATAAAAGGCATCCAGATTGGTAAGGAACAAGTTAAACTGTCACTGTTTGGAGATGACATGATATTATACATAAAAAAACCCTAAAAATCCACTCCAAAACTATTAGATTTAATATCTGAATTCAGCAAAGTTACAGGATGCAGAATTAATACACAGCAATCTGTTGCATTCCTATACACTAATGATGAACTAGCAGAAAGAGAAATCAGGAAAACAATTTATTTCACAATTGCATCAAATAGAATAAAATACTTGGCAATAAACCTAACTAAGGAAGTGAAAGACCTATTCCTTGAAAACTGCAAGACACTCATGAGAGAAATTAAAGAGGATACCAATAAATGGAAATACTTTTCATGCTCATGTGTAGGAAGAGTTAACATTGTCAAAATGGCCCTCCTGCCTAAAGCAATCTACAGATTCAATGTAATCCCTATCAAAGTACCAATGGCATTATTCAATGAACTAGAGCAAATAAGTTCTAAAATTTGTATGGAAACACAAAAGACCTCAAATAGCCAGAGCAATCCTGAGAAGGAAGAATAAAGCTGCGGGGATTATGCTCCCTGACCTCAAGGTCTACTACAAAGCCACAGTAATCAAGACAATTTGCTACCGGCACAAGAACAGAACCATTGACCAATGGAACAGACTAGCGAGCTCAGATATAGACCCATACATATATGGTCAATTAATATATGATAAAGGAGCCATAGACATACAATGGGGAAGGACAGCCTTTTCAACAAATGGTGTTGGAAAAACTGGACAGCTACATGCAAGAGAGTGAAACTGGATTATTTTCTGACCCCATACACAAAAGTAAACTCAAAATGGATCAAAGACCTGAATATAAGTCATGAAACCATAAAACTCTTAGAAGAAAACACAGGCAAAAGTTTCTTGAATAGAAACATGAACAACTATTTCCTGAACACATCCCCTTGGGGAGGTAAACAAAAGCAAAAATGAATAAATGGGACTACATCAAGCTAAGAAGCTTCTGTACAGCAAAGGATACCATCAGCAGAACAAAAGGCATCCTACAGTATGGGAGAATATATTTGTAAACAACATATCTGACAAGGGGTTAACATCCAAAATATATAATGAACTCACATGCCTCAACACCCAAAAAGCAAATAACCCAATTAAAAATTGGGCAAAGGATATGAGCATAGAATTCTCCAAGGAAGAATTTCAGATGGCCAACAGGTACATGAAGAGATGCTCCACATTGCTTATTATCAGACAAATGCAAATTAAAACCACAATGAGATATCACCTCACACCAATTAGGATGGTCAACATCCAAAAGACTAGGAAAGACAAATGCTGGTGAGGATGCAGAGAAAGGTGAACCCTCCTGCACTGCTGGTGAGAATGTAAACTATTTCAACCATTGTGGAAAGCAATATGGAGGTTCCTTAACAAACTAAAAATAGAAATACCATTTGATCCAGGAATTACACTCCCAGGAATTGCCCTAAGAATGCAGGATCCCAGTTTGAAAAAGACATGCACCCCATGTTTATCACAGCACTATTTACAGTAGCCAAGAAATGGAAGTAACCCAAGTGTCCATCAGTAGATGAATGGATAAAGAAGATGTGGTACATATACACACTGGAATATTCTTTAGCCATAAGAAGAAAACAAATCCTGCCATTTGCAACAACATGAATGGATCCAAGTAGAGAAATTAAACCGTAAGTACCAAATTATTTCACTGATCTGTGGAGCTTAAGAAAAAAGCAAAAACTGAAGGAACAAAAAGCAAAAAACAGCAGTGGACTCACAGAACCCAAGAATGGACTAACAGTTGCCAAAGGGAGAGGCACTGGGGGTGGGGTGGGAAGGAAGGGTGGGAGAAGGGGAACAAGGGGCATTATGATTAGCACACATAATTTAGGGGGGTGTCACAGGGAAGGCACTATAGCACAGAGACAACAAGTAGTGACTCTAAAGCATCTTACTACACTGATGGACTGTAATGGGATATGTGGTGGGGACTTGATAATGGGAGGAATCTAGTAATCACAATGTTGCTCATATAACTATATATTAATGATGCCAGAAAAGACATATGCACCTCTATATTTAATGCAGCACTACAATAGTCAAATATGGAAGCAACCTAATTGTACATCAGTAGATGAATAGATAAAGAAGAAATGGTACATATACACAATGGAATACTATTCAGCCATAAGAAAGAAACAAATCCTACCATTTGCAAGAACATGGATGGAGCTAGAGTGTATTAGTCTCAGTGAAATAAGTCAGGCAGAGAAAGAGAAGTGCCAAGTGATTTCCCTCATTTGTGGAGTGTAACAATGAAGCAAACTGAAGGAACAAAACAGCAGGAGACTCACAAACTCCAAGAATGGACAAGTGGTTACCAAAGGGCAGGGGCAGGGCATGTGGGGAGGGAGGAGAAGGGGATTGAGGGGTATTATGATTGGCACACATGGTGTGTGGGGCATCGCCGGGAAGACAGTGTAGCACAGAGAAGACAAGTAATGACTCTGTGGCATCTTACTACACTGATGACAGTGACTGCAATATGGACTCAATACTATGGGTCAATGTAGTAACCACATTGTTTTTCATGTGAAACCTTCATAAGAATGTATATAAATGGTACCTTAATTTAAAAAATTAAGAAAATAAATAAATTCTCTGGGATTATCTGCACAATCACAATGTGTTCAAATAGAGACAGTTTTAGTCCATTAAAAAAAAAATCCATATAAAAAGAGGTAAGGAAGAGATAGCAGACTACATCATACTGGTTAAGTGGAATGACTTTGAAAGAAGACAGACCTAGGTTCAAATGTAGGCTTAACTAATTGCTAAGTTTGTGATCTTGGGGAAGTCGTTTAACTTCTCTGAGCATCAATTTCTTCTGCGATATAAGAAAAATAATATTGACCAGTTAGAACAGTTATAAGGGTTAAGGTTTCTAGAAAAAACCTAACTTACAATAAGATCCCAACAAATGTGAGATCTCTACTAATTATTAATACCACTCAGGTTAAATATACTGTTATGCAAAATTAGTACTTAGCTATGCCCATGACTAATTATGCGTTGTGAGAGTTTGGATAGTAGAAAAAAGTGTTCATTATTCTCTAGTGGCTGAAAATCTCTTTGATGAGATTGGATTTGTTAAAATACTCTTATCTTTTATGATGTTTAAAAACAATGAGAATGAGGGACGGAGCAAGTATTAACCATGGTGTTCTAGGCTGGGTATTAATTGCATTGGCATTAGTGTTGAGCAGAAAGTGAATTCTTTTGGTTACTTCTAATGTGAATTTCAGATATGTATCCTTTATTTAACTGCCATTTCCCCAGATAAAGCCCTCATTGTTGAGGACTACCACAACAACCTCCTACCCAGTCTCCTTGCTTCTACTCTTGCCTACTCCCTAATCCATTGTCCATCATAGCCATAAAAAGTATTTCAAAAATATGAACCACAATTTATGCTATTCCTCTACTTAAAACCCTTTGGAATAAAACCCAAACTCCCTATTTAGCCTATGTGGTACCTCCAAGTTGTCCCCACCTGGATCTCTGCTTCCTAATATTTACACCCTTGCACATCTTTGTTCCCTTCTAAGTGTACAAAGGTTGGTCTGTGTGGCCAACAGCATGATATAAATGATAGTATGTGACTCCAAAATTAGGTTATAAAAGATTGTGGTTCTTATCTTTCATGTTCTCTCACTTGACTACTCTCTTCCTAACTCTCAGCTCTCTCCCTGAAGGAATAAAGGCAGGAGGTATGTTATGTGTATGTATGAGTAGTCCTGTGCAGATACGCATGTGGAGAGAAGCTACAGCCTCTGGCCAGCAGCCCGCAAGGAACTGAGGTCTGCCAGCATCCACAGCAGTGAGTAGGGAAATGGATTCTCTGGCTCCAGTAGAGCAAGACGACTCCGATCCTGGTGAGGAGCTTGACTGTAACTTCATGGTGGCTCTCAAATCTGACCACCAGGTAAACCACTCTCAGATTACTGAGTTAGGGAAACTGGATGAGATGTTTGTAATTATACACTGCTATGTTTTTGGGTGATTTGTTATATGGCAATAGATAGTTAATACACCCTACACAGGTTCTGATTTTCAATTCATATTACTCTCCTGCTCATTATGCTCCAGTTAAATAGGCTTTCCTTTAATTCCCCCAAAGGGCGAAGGTTTCCCCACCACCTTTATATCTCTGTTCCTTCTGCTTAGAATGCTCATCCTTCTAATATCTGAATGGCTGATTGTTTCCATCCTTCAGTGAATTTTTCCCCTTGATTACACCTACCCTAACGTATATCCTATATTTAACTTTATTCAGCACCCTATTTCCTTCATAGCACTAATCACAATCTGTAATTCCTCCCCTGCCATTGGAATGAAAATACCAAAAAATCAGGGACCATAACCATCACATTCTTCTTGTATCTCCTATATTTATTCAGAGCATGGCACTGAGTGGGACCTAAATGAACACTTGTTGAATGAATAAACAATTGAAACTTTTTGTTGTAAAAACAAAACAAAACAAATATAAAACTCAACTCATGTATTAGCTCTGATAATGAAAGGCCAGACATTCTTACAGTAAGAATTGAAAAGAAAGGTTATCTTTGTTAATGGAAATGCAACTTTATAATGATAACTAGGTGGGAGTGTACAGTATACTTACTTGATTTTGGCCACAACAAACAAATCATTAAACAGGAAAAGATGCCGCTCCTGCCTCTGCAGGCCTCTTTTGAGTTCTGCCCGGCCATCAATTAGTAAAGTCCTACTAGAGCACACAAATGATGACAGAAATGCACATGTGTCCACACTAGCAGAAGGACTTTCCCTGTAACAGAGCAAACACCACAGATCATTAGTCAAATAATCAAATATAGGACCAAGTTTCTATAAAATTACAGCTTATAGTTGGTCAGAAAATATAAAGCTCTATTTTTTTATGTAATGGCATACTATTCTGATCCTCCCAGCTTTCTCCACACAGTAGTCTTTTACATTTCATTATGAAATTCTTTAACCATACAGCAAAGTTGAAAGTTTTATAATAAACACTCATATAACCCAACCTAGATATTACCATTAAAATTTTACTATACTTGCTTTACCATATACCGATCCAACTATATATCTTCTATTCATAATTTGACATTTCAATGTAAAGTGCATACAGCAGTACATTTCTCCTTACATACTTCAGCATATATGTCATTAACTAGAGTTCAATATTTATTTATAACTTAAAGAATGAATGCACAATGAAATGCACAAATCTCAGGTGTATATTCACTGAGTTTTGACAAATGTATTCACCTGTGTAATCTAAACCCTTCTCAAGATATGGAACATTATCATTACTCCAAAAAATTTCCTCTTGCCCCTTCTCACTTGTTACATAACTTAGTTGGCTTTTATGTTTTGGCACCTGGGTTGTTTATTTCTTTGCTGTAAGCTGAGCTCCAACAGCTCAAAAGTCTGTAGCACCAAACTCAAATTATCACACACATGATTATTTAAACAGATTTTTGCCTGCTTCATAGTTTGCCTCCTTTGCATATGCCACAAAACTACACACAACATTTGTTAGTCATTGACAAGATAGAGCCTTGTAGTTTTAAGATCCCAAGTCGCTATTCTTTGAAGCTCTCTGACCCAGAGACTCCTTGCCATGTAACTGAGTGACATCACCTAGACACGTAATTTCCAGAGATACCCTCTCCAAACTCTCTCACCTCAGGAGTTCCTTTGCCCTTACCCCCTTCTGAATGGTGGCCCTTTGGCCATAAAGCCTCTAGACAATCTCATGCTCTGAAGAACTTCCCTTCTCGTGCAAACCTGTCCAATCATTTCTTTTTCCTTGTTCAGCCCCCAGATCCCTCAAATTCCTTGCAACAGTCAATCCTCACCCCATCATCCCATGAGGCAACCATTGTTCTGAATTTTTTCTCCACTGAAGATTATTTTTCTAGAATTTCATATAAATGGAACTATAGTATGTACTCTTTTCTGTAAGCTATTATTTACTCAGCATGTTTTTGTTACATTTATCAGTAATCCATTCTTTTATATTGCTGAATAATTCCACTGTATAAATACATTAAAATTTGTTCATCCATTCTCCTATTGATGGACATTTGGGCTCTTTTCAGTTTTTTGGTACTATGAGTAAAACTGCTATTAAGCATTGTGCTGGTCTTTTTGTGACATGTGTTTTCATTTCTCTTGGATAAATACCACAGAAGGAATGTTGGGTCAGAGAAATTTTAATTTTTAAAATTTAATTTTAGAAAGCACTGCCAGTAAGTTCTCCAATGTGGTTGTATCAATTCATATTCCCAACAATATTGTAGGAGAGTTCCAGCTGCTCCACAACCTCACCAACATTTGGTGGTGTCAGTTTTTTAAATTTTGGTCATTCTAGTGGATATATAGTAAATTGTCATTATGATTTTAATTTGTATTTCTATGATAACTAATGAGACTGAACATGTGTTCTTATTGGTCATTTGTGTATCGTCATTTGTGAAATAACCTCAAACCTTTTACTTATTTTTTTTGAAAATTGGGTTATATATATTTTTAGTATTGAATTATAGGAATTTTTGTTATATATCCTAGATACTTGCTGTGTATAAAGCAAAGGCTCTTATGGCCTTGATCAGCTAGCTCACTACACACTTGTGGGCAGTACATTGTTATTGACTCTATATAAAGAGCTCCGCCCAGTGCTCTGGGTGGCACGGTGGCACAGCTGCTGGAGAGCAGAAACTGGAGTGGTGGCAGCACTGAGGACAGAGACTGAGATGGAGGCAGGGACAGAGAGGCCCAGAGGCAGAGACCAGCTTGCTGCATGCAGACTCACTCTGAGGGGACAGGATTTTAGTGATTGACCTGCCATCATGGAAATAAAGTTGGATATAAACCCTTTCACCCCAAGAACATTCCATTGTCATTTTCAGTCTTATTGAATATATAGTGAACGTGTCTGGGGCTGAAACCCATTGGCAAGACAATGGCGATAGTTGGCAGGATTCACTGTTGACCAAAAAAAAGAAAAGGCTGCTCTCATAAGAGGAGTGTTTCTGCAGGCTGCCCGTATGGATGGGGAGATCTTCAAGTGTTCCCCAGTGGACATGTGGCCCGATGTTGCTTGCCTCCTAGAGGACTGGGCCCCACCCCAAGACTGGGAAGGGGTGGAGGCAACACCTGAGCCAGTAAAGTTGGCCTTCAGCAAAATAGGGAATTCCTAAGAGAAACAGAGTGCCTGTGAGGCCATAGGCATGGTGGGGAGTTTTCTTCTCACAATCATGAGAAAGACCATAAGGGAGCAAGACCTCTTCCTGTAGGAAGTACGAGAAGAGGCAGCATTAGGACGTGAGTTGCAAGGTGCAGTTAAGGAGATAGGAAATTTGTTGGTGACTGTAACTGCATCACCACAAGGTGCTGTGGAAATGGTAAAGGATGTTGTGGTATCCCTAGAGGAAGCAGCATGAGAATGAGAAGCAGCCTGAGAGGGCAGGCTGCCAGGTGCCGTGGGGCATGTGAAGGATGTAGTGGAGCTCTCAACCTCAGAAATAGAGGAGTGGAGGTTTGATGAACAGGTGGGGGTGGAGGCTCTCCTGGTGCCAGAGGCATCAGACCCTCCTCCATTGAAACCCCACCCAGTTAAAAGCTGGGGGAAAGTAGGAAAGAAAATAAAGACTCGGCAGCCATGGGTTCCTCCTGGATAGGTGCAGCCCACTCCCCAGATCATGGAGCACTCTATGCTCTGCTCCTATACTCAGGCTCAAGCAATGAAAGCACAAAAGGAAATATGGTCTGATACTCAAAGGAAGAATTTGAGGGGCCTTGTGAAGGTCAAGGACCCAGATGTGGGTTGATTTGATAAAGGCAGGAGCAGACAGAAAGAAATTGGATGGAAAGTCAAATAGAATCTTACCGGAGTTGTGGCAACAACTGAAACTGAAGCAGCAGTTCTGGATGCTGAGGACAAAGGAGCAGAAGTCAGACACAAAGTAACAAGATCGACCTGTGTGTCTGCAAGACTTTCTGCTGGAGAGGCTGGAGAAGGTGGGTATTGTAAGGCCCACCCATGATTCTTTTGGTTAACTCATTTGAGTAGAACTGGTTTGAATACAGCCAGGATGACCACTTGGTGGCAATGGATCTCCTCAGGCTGGAGGGTTATTGTAATTTGTTATTTGCATATTATATTATATTATGAAATTTGGTTACAATGTTCCAGTTTCCTCGAGCAGGGACCTTTGCAGAGGATTGAGGGCACATGGATTGAGGGGCAGGAATCCTGGAGGGGTGGACTGTGGATAAAGTGAAGGTTCCTATGGCCAGGATTCCCATCTGGCCCTGATTGGCTAGCTCACTACATACGTGTGGGCAATATGTTGTTATTTGTTATTGACTCTATATAAAGAGCTCCACCCAGTGCTCTGGTGACAGAGTGGCATGGTTGTTGCACAGGTACAGGGCTACAAGACTGCAAGGCTGCAGGTGAGCAGAGGCTGGAGCGGTGGAAGAACCAAGGACAGGGACTGAGACATCTGTGGGGGTAGAGAGGCCCAGAGGCAGAGATTGGTTTGCTGTCTGCAGACTCGCTTTGAGTGGACAGGATTCCAGTGATTGCCCTGCCACCCTGGAAATAAGCTGGTAAAAGAGATACCCTTTTACCCCAAGAATTTTCCATTGTCATTTTTTGGTCTTATATAATCCATACTGAACGTGTCTGGGGCTGAAACCCATTGGCAAGATACTTGTCCTTTGTCAGATATGTTTTGAAAATATTTTCTTCCAGACTGTTCCTTGCCTGTACAACTTCTTATCTATGTTTTTGATGAAAATGTTTTAATTGCAATGAAGTCTCATTTATCAGTTTTTGGAATGGTATTTGCTTTCCATAACCTTCCTAGGGAATCTTGACATACCCCCAAGCCATGAAAACATTCTATTTTCTACTAAAATCTGTATGAATTTAGTTTTTTAGTTTTTTACATTTAAGTCTATGATCCATCTTAAGTTAATTTTGGTTTATAATATAAGGTAGGGGCTAATGTTCATTCTGCTTTTCTTTATGAATACCTTATCATTCCAGCACCAAGTGTACAAAGGACTTTCCTTCCTCAATGGATTGTTTTGGCACCTTTGTTGAAAATCACATGAGTAAAAAACATGGGCATATTTCTGGGATCTGTTCTGTTCCACTGATCTATTTGTTAATTGTTATGCCACAACACTGTCTTATTATTCTATCTTTACAGTGAATCACGAAATCAGGTAGTATAAATCTACTGATCTTATTTTTCCTTTTTGAGATGTCTTTGGATAATCTATGTCCTTTGTATTTCCATATACATTTTAGAGACTAATAAAGATAAAGCACACAGGAGGAAAAGCCTATTGGGGTTGGGGAATAAGAGAGGAGCTCAGTTTCAAATATACTGAGTGAAATTATCAGTGGACTAGGTGGCATGGGTAAAATTAGGCAGGCAACTGTCATTTAGAAGAGATATCAGAAGCAGAGATGTAGATTCAGTGATCATAGACAGGTGCATAAAAAATACTTCAGGAATGGCTAGAACTGGCCAGGGAAGGAGCACAGAATAAGATAAAAGACAGAAACACATTCCAGACAAAAGATGTAATTTGATAAAGTGAAGAAAGCAGAATCTGTGAACAAGGTTGGAGACTGGTGGATAAAGTAGCACAAAAAATAGAAATAATAGCAGTGATGATCCTGAGTGCTGAATTGGTGATATAAAGTTAAAGACTGTGAAGATGTCAGGGAAAAATCATCAGTTGGCTAAGACCTTCAAGAAA